TCGATTCGTTTCTTCTCAAGAGGAAGAAATATAACAAGGAAAGGAGGGGAAAGAGGTTTTTACTTTATATTTCTTAGAAGCACCTCTTCTTCCATATCGAAAATGTTTCTCAAGAATCGTGGCGAATCAAACTGTGATTTGTCGGACATTTTCTCCGCGGTAAAGCACAAATTGAACTGTCACGACCGCTAAAAGGCAATCAGTCTCGATTCACAAGGCGAGATCTTTGATATAAAATCGTTTTTGAAAAAACTCGCCAAAGAAACGTAGAAACTTAAACACGTGTATATACGTTTAACCTCCAACTCGAAGAACGTTGAAATTTCGGCTCAATGATCGCGTTTAGCGGTTCGATGATATTTATGGTAAACGTGATGAAATTATGCAAGTTGGTGCGGCATACCAAGTATGTGCACTCATGCGTCGTGTAAGCTCTAACCTATATATATATATATACACCTTTAACTTAATGCTGTGTTACTTGCGAGTATGAGACGTGCACACGACGATGAGATCCTAACAGATGATGTTACCTGTGTTTAGACTGCACAATTGTTACCTGGCTACGGAGCAGCTATTTGGAGAGCCGTTCTTTGAAGGGTGAAAAGGGTGTTTGTTATCATATTCGAAAGGATAACTGAAACAGACCGATGATCGAACGTATTTTATTAAATTTGGAATCGTAGAAGGAAATACTTTTCGATCATACATTAATCTTCGACTAGGAATATATAAGATTTTAATTCAAACTTTTTGTTTCCACAATCAGAAATAACGAGAATATTTACGAAACGAGAATTTTCAAATTGGAAAAAATTGTAGATTCTAGTTATTAAAGTGATTCATTTCGCGAATAGGAACGTCGTCCGTTCAACTTTAATTTCCGGTGTCACGAATTTATGCACGCCAACGATAATTAACGTGGGAGCATTTTTCGATTAAAAGATTCCACTTTCAAATTCATTTATTAATTCATCATTCCTAAATATAATCGGAGAAAGGAATCGTCTAGAAACGTTTCAGAAATTACGTTTAAAATTTTACACTCGCATGGGGCGTGCAAAAAGAAATTTCGAAACATTTCGAGAATATCGAAGATCATGTGAAATGGGGGTTGAACACGATTTTATAAATACTGCAAGGAACGATACTGAAGGAAGGAAGGAAGGAAGGAAGGAAGGAAGGAAGGAAGGAAGGGAAGAAGGCTTTGGCCCATCCCGCTCCGGCGATGGAGTTAAGTGGCGCGATTTTTCAATTCTGAGAGTCTTTTCGTGTATTATTAAAATGCAACGTTACGGTAGAGTTATTGACGCAATGAATATTCCCCTTACATAATGACTCTGAAAAATTTCCCTCTCCGAACACGTACACATTTTTTATGACCGCAATCTTTCGGCCCTACGTAAATGAATGATACACTCTCTGCAAGAAGAGCTCGATTTCAGTTGAAACGAAACTTTCGATTTCGAAGAAATTATATATCATATCCCTATTTTCTTTCTCGTTTC